GGGAGCAGCAGCCCCACTGCCTTCTAACTGAGCACCGCAGAGGCTCTCCCTTAGAACACAGGGAAGTCTGCCACCAGCTCACAGGAAGGGTTGCACGAACACATCTCTGGGCGCTTGCTATAGGCCAGGCCAGGAACCTCCCTACTGCTATCAACTTTATCAGGTAGGTACCACTGTCATTATTTTATAGACAAGGAAAATGAGCCTCAGATTAGGTAAATATTGTTATTTAAGTAATAAGTATCTAACCCAAGAGAAACTGAGTTCTGACTCCAAGTGCTTATGAAGGAGACTCCACTTATGAAGGAGACCCCTGCCCTCCACCCAACTCCCAGGTCCCTACACACCCTAATAAAGGACCAAGTTCAGGAGTGGGCTCCACTTTCCCCAGGCCCTTGATCCACAGGTCATAACAGGGTAGACAGTCCTTTCTCTTCCCCTCATTTCATTTTTTTTCTTCCTTTAAAAATTAATAGGGATATTAATAGTAATAACAGTAATAGTAATTAATAGTAATCAATAGTAATAAAGGTAAAGAGCCTACTTGAAATTCTTTCTGGTTTGTGTTTGGATAAAAAGAGTCACCTTTCACACTTGCACATACACAGAATTCTGCCCTTTTGCTGTGTCACTTACTTAAAAGTAAGCACACTGGACGCACTAGCTTCCCAGGGACTCCCAAATGTGACCTCTCTTCTGTACAGTCTGAAGTCCCCCAAGGTCTTTCTGTCTTTCATTCCTAGGCAACATCCGGGGATTCATACTTAAAGGTCACTGGTCTACTCAGACAAAATCAAATTTTACAGTTACCCGATTCAGCAAGCAGAAAAACTAATATTTCAGTTAGAAACCACACCAAGCAGAAGTGACTATGTGAAGGAAAGTGGGAAAAAAACTACTACTACTATTACTACTACTACTACTACTACTACTACTACTACTATTATTATTATCCCCTTTAGAGCCTATTTTATTTTCACCTGGATATCTGAAAGTTCAGTGAATCCAACCACATAGCAAATCTGCCAGTCTATTCTTACAAAATCCTAGGACAGAAGACACACTGGATTTATAGTTCACTCTTCAGGGACACGAGGAAAGCCCTTAGGAAGATGCCCAGGATACGGAGCTTCTTGCGGGAGGGAGAGTTTACTCGCCAGAGGGCGCTATCCTCGCTGAAAGTAACCAGAGTGTTCCTCAGAGCGCTTTGCAGTCTCACCAGCCCAAAATAAATTTTTCTTGAAAGCCTTTATAATGAACAACAAAATTCTCTGAAAATATACATGCCATGGTTAACTAAAACATAAAATAAAGCTATTCTTTCCAAAAAGAGTGATGATAATAAGAATAAACACCTCATTTAGCTACACGTGGTGACACAAGCTTGTCATCCCAGCTATTTGGGAAGCTGAGGCAGGAGGATCACAAGTTTGAGGATAACCTGAGCAACTTAGTGAGACCCTGCCTAAAAATAAAAACTGGAAAGAAGTAGGCTGTGGCCCAGTGGTAAAGATGCACCCTTGGGTTCCATCCCCAGTACCACAAAACAAACACAAAATGTACTTATTTTAGCTTACTATGTGTCACATACAATTCTAAGCATTTTACAGATATAAACTCATAATTTCCTTACATATTAATAATCCTCACTCTACATGTGGGAAGACTGACGTACGACTCTGTGACCTCACAGGGTCATAGGCTGGCGACTAGCAGAGCCAAGACACATTTTTGGACAGTCTGACTCTTATCTCCATATCCCCAACCTACGAATATAGGTTGAGGTGGTGGCCACATCTGCGATCCCAGCAACTCAGGAGGCTGAGACAGGAGGACTCCAAGTTTAAGACCTGCCTCAATACCTTAGTAAGGCCCTAAGCAACTAAGTGAGATCCTGTCTCGGGAAAAACATTAAAAAGGGCTGGGATGTGGCTCAGTAGCAAATTGCCCCTGTGTTAAATTCTTAGTACTCCCCTCCCAAAAAATGAGAGGCTTCAATAAAAAGAGATTTATTTATAATATATATGTTACAAATTATATCACAGCTCTAGAAATAATAAAGTTAGCTATAAAAAGGTACTAATTCTGTCACCTGAGAGCAATGCTATTAACTTTACTTTGACATCATTTTCATATATATATATATATATATATATATATATATATATATATATATATACATACATATATGTCATTATGGAGACATTAAAAGGGACATATCACTTAAGTTCACTTACATTCCATTGAAAAGTATCAAAGTCCTAAATTAAAGAATAAGAAGGAGGAAAAGAATCTGATTATTTTTCCGATGCTGGGGCTTGAGCCCAGAGTGCTCTACCTTGGAGCTACAACCAAGTCTGTTCATCTTTCACTTTTTAAATTTTGAAATAGGGTCTCACTAAGCTGTCCAGACTGGATTCGCACTTGGGATCCTCCTGCCTCAGCCTCTTGAGCAGAAGGGATTATAGGCATGTGCTATCACACCTGGCCTGATCTTGTCATTTTTAAAGAATGATAATAGTGAGTATGAATCACAGGCAGAGCTTTTAACTTGGAACGCAGTGTCCTGACTAAATCATTTGCTATTGGGACGACATTGTGATTCTAACTCTTCTCTTGGTCTTTGGAACCTGCTTGATGTTTCCCTCATTGGAACACATCTGTAACTCTCCACAGACTAACTCTATAAATGGGCAATGTTATACTCCAATGTCGTTGGGAAAACCCAAGACTGCATGTTTTAAGAAACCTATTGCCCTAATTTCTTAGAAATCTGTAAAGTAAGGTATTTCACTCAGCCGCAGGTAAATATGTTTCAGAATGTTCAGATACAACTTCTTTAGGGACACTTCACTAGTTTGCCTATGGGTCTTTTGTTGGTGGTGTTTTTTATGTGTTTTGCAGTATAGGGATTGAGCCCAGAGACACTCTACCACTGAGCTACATCCCTAGTCTTTTTCATTTTTATTTTAAGATGGTCTCTGGTAAGTTGCCCAGGCTGGCCTCAAATTTGTGATCCCCCTGCCTCAGCCTCCCAAGTCTCTGGAACTGACCATAAGTACATGCAACTACATCCAGTTTATCATACAGTTTTTAAGATTAAGGTGAGTGCATAGAGCAGAGTATGACTAAGCATAATGATTACTGGTAACCTAAGTGTGCATTAGATCAGAGCTAGTCAAGGATATTAATTGCAGCATATCCATTTGTTGGACTATGAGGCAATTTTTAACAAGGAGGAGGCAGCCCTAAATGTATGAGTCTAGAAGTGGAAAGACAAGACACAGTGCAGAACATGAGACACCAGCTCAGTGTGAACACGTAAACAGCACGGTGTGAACACACACAAAAATAGTGCATGCTGAGGAAGTGGCGGGCAGAGGTGACGGGGACTGCAGGGAGACCTACTTTTTGAACACTTCTTTGAAGTGTTGGAATGTCTTTTATCATGCCCATGAGATATTTTTTTCAATTATAAGAGATAATAAAGTAAGACCTAGGACAGGGAATGCACTGCAGTGCTAGAGCACACACAAGCCCAGTTCAAACCCCAGCACTAGAGAAAGATGTCAAAATTTTAATAATCAATTTTTAGAATATTTAATGAAAGCTGAAGACTGATGGAATTAGGAAACTCATTTACTTGGTGATAGATAGATAGATAGATAGATAGATAGATAGATAGATAGATAGATAGATATTTTACAGGGGATTGAATCCAGGGGTGCTTTACCACAAAGCTACACCCATGGCTATTTTAGTTTTCATTCTGAGACAGGGTCTCACTAAATTGCTGAGACTAGCTTTGAATGGGTGACCCTCCTGCTTCAGCCCCCACCCCAGTCGCTGGGATTACAGGTGTGGCTACTGCGCACAGCACGGGGGATGTATTTGTGACACTGGCATATGCTCCTACATGAGCACATATACATATTTGGGACAAATAAGTCATGGGAAGCTTATCTCCATATCCCCAACCTCAGAAAAATGAGAGGTCTAGCAGAGGTGGCTCTTCCCCTGCTCACAGGACTAGGCCACTTTCCTTGATCTGCCCTTTACATAAGGCACATGGAGAGGGGAGTCCAAGGCCTCTGCTCTTGGACACAAGCACACCTGCACACTTTAGCACAAAGGTGCAGACTTCCTGGACAAGAATGCGTCCATTTGAGTTCACATGCACTGGCTGAGCATCTCGAGAAAAAGGGGTCTGAGGATAACACTGCCGTTTTCATCCAATTCATTCCTGAAAATCCAGCAGGAGGTACTCTTCACCCCTACATTAACTACTCCAGGGATAAAGCAGTATCTGAGTATTTAATCTTAAATGGAAATGTCTAAGAACATTTTTTACAAAACCAATCTAAGGGCCCTTTTTTATTTTCAAGCCCCGGGAGGAAGGGAGGGAAAATTGACCCAAAACCTTGGCTACTTCTGCCCACCAGAGCACTCCTCAGACCTAGTGTCCAGTGCACAGGATATAAAGAGCAGAGACCATTCCCTTCTCGAGGCTAAAGGTCACACACCCAAACACTGTGGTTGACGTGACAGGTGAGCCTCCCCGCGGGGCACATGAGGTGATGGGTAACTGCACCAGTAGGGAGCAGGGTTCCACCCTCAGCTCTGTAGTCCCTCTGTAGTCCGAAGGCTGTAGGACAGGGGGTCCTCTTGTCCACACAGGGGCATTCTGTGACCTCTTGGAGGCTATGCTGAGACCTGACCAGGTAAGGCCTGGGAGGGCCCACCTGCTATCAGACATAGCATGCAGTGTCCCTGATCCCAGTTCACAGGAAGGGACACTGCCTTAGTCTAAATGGAAACAGGACCCAACGGGGACACTCTAGTGCAAACTTAAGGCAGAGTCACGACCTATGTGGCCAAGAGGCCAAACAAAGGAGGGACAGGCAGCAGGAAAGGGCAGCAAGGAGGGAAGGGAGAGACAAGGCACAAAGAGGCCTGGAGCCAGCAGAGCCCCCTCAGCAGCAGTCGGAGCTGGGGCTTACCCAGGTTTGGCTGGGATGCGGCCATGGAACTCTGAGGCACTGGTGTGGAAGTGACGGCAGGGCGGAGGCTCATATGATTCAGGGGCTGACTCATCGCCTTCCTGGGGTCTTGCCAGGTGGTGATTTTTTCTGTGTGACTAAAAGAAGGAAAACAATTAGCTACTTTTAAATTGTCAGCATCATCAGCATCAGTAATAGCAAAACAATTAGGCGAAGCTGGTCCTTCCCTCCGAGCTGCCTGCAAGTATCTACCAGTTGTGGTGGGTTTCAACCAAGAACACACTGTCCTCTGAGCCTCTGTCCCAGGAGGCCACAGTGGGGCCTGCAGATGCTGAACACAAGCTCTATTGGGCCCAGGAGCCCTCATCTACCCATAGTCCATGACACTCGACACCATGGCGAGCTCATCTCCAGGAGCGGGACCCATGCTCTCCTTCCCCAGCCCCCTGAGCCCCCACACTCTCCCAGCTCATGGACCTGACACGAGGGGCTTCCTCACACAGCACCCATGATCTCACCAAGACAAAGCAGCCTGGCTTCAGCCAAACGCCAGGTGACACTATGAGGCCCAGGACAGAGCAACAGGAAATGAATGCAGGGAGGCGGGCGAGTGGAGAGTTGGGTTTAAAGCATGCTAGTTTCTTTCTTTTCTTTTTGTTTTTTTTTTTTCATTCATATTACTAGGGCTTGAACTGAAGGGTACTTTTCCACTGACCTACATTCCCAGTCTTTTCTATTTTTTATTTTGAGAGGGTCTCATTAAGTGCTGAGGGTCTTGCTAAGTTGCAAACTTGTGATCTTCTTAACTCAGCCTCTCAGTCAGTGGGATTCCAGGCAGGCACCATCACACCCAGCATGAGATATATATATATATATATATATATATATATATTTAAAAGAAGAACAGAATCATCTACTGCCCTGACTTTGCTTTACAAATGGTATCAGAGGTCTCTCTGTATCCATCACAGACAATACACTTGGATAGAAAAAACTGAGTATTAGCCCTTTGTTCTGACCTCACAACTAGTTTTGCCTCTTCCCTGTCAAACCCCACACACCTAGGACAGGTCCTCAGATGCGGAGGGAACAAAATTGCTCTTTCTGTTAAACACAACTTAATTGTGAATAATAATGGCCTCTCAACTCTTTAGTGTAGGAAACCACTGTTACCAACACTTGGCTCCATCTGAGATCTAGAAACTTTCTTGAGCTGGAGTTAGTTCATCTTAATTATTTTTTATTTTATTTTGTTCTGTTTCCTCACAATTAAATGCCTCCACTGCTAATATTCCTTATCCAAGACAGAAACTATTCTCATAGGAAGCTCATTCACTGCCCTGAGTGAGAACCTGGATATTTTCCAAACATCTTTAAGGGCACCTATATGGTGGTCACACCTGTAATCTTGCTACCCAGGAGGCCAAGGCCAGAGGATGACAAGTCCAAGGCCAGCAAGTCCAAGGCCATCCTGGGCAAGTGAGAGAGACACTGTCTCAAAACAAACAATAGAAAGGGCTGAGGATGTGGCTCAGTGGTGTTGTTCTTGCCGGGCATGCAACTCAAGAGGCCCTGAGCTCAACTTCCAGCATCACACACAAAAAAAGTATAAAAGGACTCGGGGTGTGTCTCAGTATCTCAAGGTAGGCCACTTGTTTTCACATACAGGACCCCTCCCTCTATCCCCAGCACCTTCAGCAAAGCAAGTGGAGTGAAATGTAACTACCAAATGTCAATACTGTAGATGCCATAGTCAATCTTAAAATAAATAAATAAATGAATAAAAGAACCAATACTATCTTGTTAAGAAAAAAAGAGGGAAATATTGATTGAGGTTCATTTCCCTAAGCATAAAAAAATAAAAAAAGAAATGGTTGAGCCTTCACCCACCCATGGGGTGCCAGGCACAGTGAGGAGCACCCTGTAGTCCCAGTGACACCAAGGCTGACAAGTTCAAGGACGGCCTCAGCAACTCAGTAAGGCTCTAAGCAACTTAGTGGGACTTTGTCTCAAAAATAAAAAAAAATTTTAAAGAGCTGGGGATGTGGCTCAGTGGTAAAACACCCCTGGGTTCAATGGAAAGAGAGAGAGAAAGAGAGAGAGAAAGAGAAGGAAGGAAGGAAGGAAGGAAGGAAGGAAG